GGACTGGCATCAGAGGGCACAGCCTTCTCAGGTCAAACCACAGCACTGTCGCTGTGATCTGCGGAAACAGCTCACTGCACTTTGCCTCCTATGAGTCTTGGTGATTAAACTGTTGAGCAACTTCAAAGAGCAGAGGCGAAACCAACAGGAAGAAGCTGGTGGTGGAGCGCTTAAGTGCCCTGCACATCCTCTCTGAGCTCTGGCCAGGCCGTGCCAGAACACTGCAGAAGTCATGTCTACACCAGGGTCTCCCCGCTGGTGACAAAGGAGGGACGCTCCTGATAAATGTTCACACGTGACAGTTTGTCATGAAAAACTGAAGCTAAGCCCACTGAATTCCTGAGCGCTTATTAAAGCGCCAACGGCCAAAAGAGACGAGCATTGCAAGACGGTGGCTCTCTCCTCTGGACGGCAGAGGACGTGTATCTCACTTGGCTCGTTTCAGTCTGGGAGGCACCATGCCATCAGAAGTCCTATGCCATAGGAAGAAATTTGCAAAATTGCCAGTTCTCATGTTTTTCTACAGATTTTACTTCCATAAACGTACCATGGATTCTATCTAATGGTAACATATGCTAGGGCAAACCGCTCAATTTATTGTTTTAGTTCAAGTAATTTCATGACTTTACCCCATAGTGAGTGACCCTCTCAGAGTCAATAAAAATGCACATCTTAAAATATATTTTATAGCTCTGGTAGGCCAGCTGTACAATGAAACAAGGTCAATCAATTTAAAATGCCCTGGTGTGTTTTGCTCCTGTCTTAGTCTGCCTGAGCTGCCATAACAAAGTACTATGGATTGGGTGGCTTACAAAACAGACATTTATTCCCCACAGTTCTGGAAGCTGGAAGGCGAAGACGAAGGTGTTGGTCATTTGGTCCTGGTGAGGGCCCGATTCCTAGCTCACAGAGGGCTGCTTCTGGCAGCGCCTTTGGTGGTGGAGCAAGGGCTCTGGTCTCTTCCTCTTCCTCTAAGGACACTACTCCCATCGAATCAAGGCCCCATACTTAGGACCTCACTTCAACCTTAATTACTTCTTTGAGGGCCTTTCTCTGCATAGAATCACACTGTGGGTTGGAGCTTCCAAATGTGAATTTGGAGGGATGCAATTTAGTCCGTAACATCGCATCCCTCATTTGTAGTAACAGCATGACCTTACTCAGCGATGACAGGGACACTCTAAATGTCAAAATTTACATCTTAAAACACATTTTATAGCTCTATTAGGCCAGTTATGTCATGACATTAACAGATGAAAAATGCCTGGGCATTTGGGATGCTCGCTCTCAGTATTTAAGGAAACTCAGTATACCCCAATCTGGTCATTTCCATCTGTGATTATGATCTTTTGCACCTTATTTTATGGTAGTTTTAACTGAAATTTTAACTGAAACAAAGGTGTTATGCTGTCATGCCAAGTTTTCAGTAAATACACCGAGGAGCTGTGAGCACAGAAAGTATTGCAATAGAATTCATTTCTCATGGAGACACCATGATTGATCTATTTGAAATGCAATATTGGTCCAGAAGCTCAGAAACATTTGGTGGAACTCAGGATTTACACTAACAACATTAGCTTAAGATTCAATCTGGACCTATTTTAAGATCCCCGAGGGGGTGGCACCTTGGTGTGTCATTCCCAAGATATCTCGAAATACATAGCAGATTCTGCTGTAGCAACTAGTGTGAGAAAACCCGAGAGCTTCTTGGTCGTCTTTGCGCCTCTCAGTGCCGAGCACACGTGTGGGGACAAATTGCTACGATGATGTGGGCTCAGGAAACTCGAGTTTCTAAAGAAGATCATAACTAACACATTTTTCCTTCCAGCCAGAATGCCCCGAAATACATGGAAAAAGACGCAGCTCTGGCTACATGAAAAAGACGGGGTGAGTGACTCCAGGCTGGAAGCAAAGCCATCCTCGCCTTTCAGTCTCACATCCTCAGCAACTTCAGCTTCTTAATTTTGAGGATATTTCTCTTGAAGATTAAAGAATTGAGAATTGCTGACATATCTGTATTGATCAGTTATGGTTCTCCAATATGTTTACTGCCAACCAAATTACAGAACCTAATTTTCACATTTACTTATAATTGGGTGCAATTGCCCAGGCTAATCTTTTAAGGTTAAAGAGCAAATCTCAAACATGATATCAAACAAGTTTTTTAATAAGACCCATGAATCAGTCTATATATACAACAGGAGGAAAGAAAAAGAATGACCACAGTTTATTCCAAAGATATGACAAAGGTAATTCACATCAGTTATACACAAAGTCAAATTTCAGCATTACCTCCAGGGCAGAGCGAGCCAGCAGCCTTCGAAATCTCTGCTCCTGCCATAGGTTGGGGCTCCCACCAGGTGCCTCCCAGTGGGGACTACATTTCCCAGACCGCCTTGCAGCCAGATGTGGTCACGTGACCAGTCCTGGCCAATGGGGTGTGTGCGGATGGTTTACCTTTAAGAAGCAGGTGCTTTCTTCCTAGTCTTTTCCCCACCAAGCTGACTGTAGGGCCTCAGGGCTGTTGGTATACAAAGAAGAAGGCTGGGTCTCCCAAATCCCCACACGGAAGAAAAGTGGCCACTCATCAGGAACACTGACATTAGACTAACACAGGAGTAAGAAATGATTTTGCTTTTATGAACTCACGGAAATATCTTACTGAAACACAACAGCCCACAGTCCACAGCTCCTGGGTTGGAGCCCCTGCAGGCCCAAGAAAGGCTTGGCTGGACGCTGGCATGGGACAGAGGGAAGCAAGGAAGACGAGGTAAGCACAAACTAGAGATTCATATCTGCTTTTTATAAGTACAAGAGAAATGCATCATCAAAACCAGTTCTAACTGCCGTCACTCTAATTGTAAGGCATCAGGCAAGCTCCTCACCTGTCCCTGGCTTCATTTCCCTCCTACGTAGAATGAGGGGGTCCTACCTGGATTGGTCATTGTGAGAAATAAATGAACCCACACATGCAAAACTCCCAAAACAGTACTTGGCATAGAGTGGTTCTCAGAAATAACATTTTAGTTCTTCCTGAATTTCTAATGCAGTGATATAATATCTCTCTTGAAAAAGTCTGCCCTTTTTGAAGTCTGTCACTGGCTTAAAAAAAAAAAAAAGCAAACCATCATAAACATTATATATATACAAAAATGTACAACATGTAAGTGGATTCCGAAGTAGAAGACAAAGGGCCCACTTCTCTGAAAAGCCGCAGCTGAAGGTGCTGGAACTAGTAGCCCAGCCTCACTAGCTTGGGGGTAGAGTCTGACTTCCTGCTGGCTGTTGTTATTTATGGCAGGACTTTCCAGGACAAGGTACACTCTGCCCTGTGGGGAAGCCCCCCGAGGAGTGAGAACGAGACCCTGCACCCAACTCACTCAGGTTCTTTTGTTTTTATCTGTTTGGCTTCTTATCACATCCGAATGCAAAATATGCAGCATAAAATGAATGAAAAAGGAGACCCCAGTCACGGTTAGAGAATTTTCATCTTTCCAAGGAACAGGGGGACCTTCGTTTTGCTCCCCAATGTACACTCTGGTGTGAAGTCTGAAGTAAACAAGGCAGGAGCTCAGCTGCTCCCTGAGTGCGGTTTAAAAAGAGGAACAAGGACCTCCACGGAGTCGGCTCCACAGTCAGCAGGGGGACAGCAGAATCAAATCTCCACAGAGAAACAGTACATGTGCATGTGCAGCTGCTCACGGACCTGTTATAATTTCCAGGTGGAGCCAGCAAGCCTTGGCAGGGGCGGCTTTCTGCAGAAAAAAAGAGGGGTGTCTGAACTGGATTCCATGGGCCCTAGCCACACAGCACATCGTGCTCCTGAACTGGGAGTCTCAGGGGGCTCCTGTTAGGCACAAGGCTTCCCTTTGCTGCCTCCTCTCCATGGGCCCCATGCTGGGAACTTGCAGCATGCCGCTGAGACACCAGGGCCTGGGGAAGTTGCCTGTCCCCAACCTCTCGCTCCAGCTGGATTTGCCATCTGCTGATTTGTAGCCTTGCATGTACATAATTCCTATTTGTACAGAAAAACAATCAAAGGTAGAACTGGATCTTCTGATCTCAACTCCAGAGCTGAGATGGGCTTTGTTGCTGCCTTGTAACCTGGGGCTGCTATTGTGCCAATGATGGACACAGGGTTCCTGGCAGCCCGGGCCCTAAGGAAGTGCAGCCGGGCAATGCCATATGACAGACAGGGAGCGGCAGCCGACAGCCCTCCATGCTCACGGTCAACCCGGCCGGCAGAGGCCATGCAGAGGCGGCCACATGCGACTGCCCATGTTCCGGCAAGTAGCTGGGAAAGGAACACAGTCACTTTCTCAAGGCTGACTTCCAAACTGGGAGGAGGAGGAGTGGGTGGTTAAGGGCATCTAGGAGGTGGGTGGCAAGGGAGTGGCCCCCGCAGAGAAGGAGGAAGCAGCTCTAAGCCCTTGATGAGTCAGAGCTGAAATTAGTAACATTGGGGTTGTCACTACTTTTTCAAAATTTAAGTCCTTTATAAAAGAGTCCCAGGCTTTCTGGAAACAGGTGGTCAGATTGAAATAAAAACACTGGCTATGGGGCCAATTTCCTCCCACCACCAGCAAAAGCCAAAAGTGAATTTATGTTTCACAGCCAGCGTGGAGAAAGCGTCTGCTCAGCAGCTCAACGAGAAACCACAGTGCGTTCCAGGGTCCCTCCTGGGTTCCTTTGCTCATTTACACGTGAAGAAAGAAAAAGGATGGGCAGTATTAATCTGCAGCACTAAGTGTGCACTTTTGTGAACACTTGTTCTAAGTTATTTACATTACATATTCACACTGGAATTGAAAATAACCCAGATCAATTCACCCACCAAACAGACCCAGGCTCCATGGTCAGAGTATCTTCTATGCCTGACAGGTGGGACTATGCCCTTAGAATTGAAATCAGTTGAAATCAGACACACTTTATGGAAGGCCGCATTAACAATGCCATTCCATCCTCGTGAAGTCACAGAAAATAAGAGCCTAAAGGGAAACTGGGAATTTGAACTTTGAGCTGTTACTACCAGCTCCAGTAGAGACTGTTGGTAGAAATGGGCCCACGTCACCTGTGTCTCCAGCATCTCTGCATTAAAACATAGACCATGCTCTATCAGTCTTACAGAAGACTCTCGCAGAACGCTTTGGCACATACAAATCAGATTTGTTAGAAACATTTTCAAAATTTCTGTTGTATATCAGATTTGATATACAACAAAACCAAATTGTGACGTGAATAGAATGGAGAGAGACTTGTGATCTTACTGGGAGACAAGACCATACCCACTAACCCAAAGACATGTAAGGCCACAGGCATGCAATGAGATACACAGAAAACACGAACAGGGGAGGTCAGAGGAAGAAGGGCCCCAGGGCAGCTTGATTAGGGATGCCAAGAGGAGGAGCAGGGTAACTGGGGGCATTGCTGACTCTGGTGTGGGGAGGGCATTCAAGGTGAAATACAACAGCTCAACAAAGACACGGGCCAGCACTGGCAAGCGTCGTCAGGATGATAAAGACTAAATCCATCTGATTAGAGCAGCCTTCTTGTTTTTGCTTGTTTTGCTTATACTTTTTGCTTAAAGCTCGGACATAGTGGGAAATAAAATCAGAACAGTAAATTACTAGTTCCCACATCGATAGGCTTGGAAGAGCAAGAACCTACCAAGAGCTGGTAAGAATCAGTCATTGGGGTCTGGCAGATACAACGTCCACGTTAAGATTAAGTTCCTACTCCCGTGTGACCTCCATGTCTGCCCCTGCTCTAGGAGACAGATCCTATTTCAGGGCTGGGCACACCTGAAGATAGAGCCTAGAACATGACTAGGGTGAGAACCATGCCATCAGCCTGCCCCAGAAGAATCCAGAAACGCAGCAGCATGATTAAAATCCTCACTGACAGGGGATTATATACAGGGGATTCCTGTGGAATGAGTTGAGAACTGCAGCTCTTGCCCCGCCCCCACTCACACGCGGGTAACTGAAAGTGTCTCACTACGGTAACCTTCTTACTGTCTGCATACATTTCCCATCACATCATGTTTACCTTAAATATACACAATAAAATTTATTTGAAAAACTAAAAAAAAAATCCCCATTGGGGCAGTGAGTATAATCAGCTTTAACGGATAAGTGATGGCCCCCAGCAAAGAGCATAAATAAGGGAATGGAAGAGATCATCAAAGACAGAACTTAGAGTAAGGCCTTGCTGGATATAAAAACAGATTAAAACCAACCCACACAAACCTTTGCAAGTAAAATGGATCTGCTTGCCATGGTACAGTCAATGAAGAGTCAAATCTGAGCCTTATTTCATTACAAGCATCACAAAAGCAGAAAAACAGGTTGTCTCGGTCTGACTTTAGAATTCTCTTCTGCATATTAAATGCCAGAAGATGCCAGAGAGCTATGTTCACTGAGCATCAGGTACAAAAAGGCTGCAGCCCAGATATTTCAAGGTCACCCAGTCACCCTTCATAGATGCAGAGGGTGGAAAAGGCCAGCGGGCAAGGACTCAGCAAACACACCCCCCACCCAGGGAAGCCCTGGGGGCGCCTGGGAAAGACGGCAGCATCATTCCACACGGCCAAGAGCGCCACATGACAGTTCCGTCTGGGGTGAGCAGAATGCCTTTAGACCAGCCATAGTGGGGCTGCTTCCATCAAAACAGCACTCAGCATGGGCCATGGGTTGAAGTGTGCCCCCCACCCCCCGAAGAAAGGTATGTTGGAGTTGCAGACCCTGGCATGTGACTTCATTTGGAAACAGGGTCACTGCAAATGTAATTAGTTAGGATGAGATCACAGAGAAGGCGAGTGGCCCTAATCCAAGATGACTGGATGACTACCTAATCCGAGATGACTTCTAAAACAGCCACTCAAAGGCACACACAGCTGAGAAGGTGGCCCTGGGATGCTGGAGGCAGCCAAGGAGTGCCCGGGGCCACCAGAAGGCAAGGAAGGGTCCTCCCAGGCCATTGGAGAAAGCTTGGTCTTGCCTACAGCATAGTCCTCGATATCCGATATCCACCCTTCAGGACTGTGAGAGCATCAGCTCTACTGGTTAAACCCCCCTGTTCAAGGGAGGCTTCTTATAGTAGCCCCAGAAAACTAACCCAGCATTTAGCTTTTACTAAAATTTCATCAGTGTACCCACCGTGGCCACCTTCAAGTCTGCATGTATTGCATGTGATTTCCACAGACAGACAGAAGGCTATGAACAATAGCCCCCAAACCCAGGCCCACCCACACTGAAGGGACTGGCTGGATCCGCTGTACCTGCAGAAGACAGACATATCTGTGATACAGAAATCACTCAGAGCTCAGACAGTGAGAAAATGAAGGACATTTTGTTTAAAAAATAATCACCAGCCAGGATGCAGCAATAGACTGGAAAGTTCTCAGAAGTCCTGAAAAGTGGGAAAGAGATGAGCCTGGCTTGTAGAGGCTTCACCGAATATCAGCAGAAAGAGAATTACTTCTCAAGGGAACTGAAGAGTCACATATTATAAATAGCAGTGTGGGGCATGGGGAAATCAACAGGATAATGAATTCTCAGCTCTATGAGGCGTTCTGGCCTGCAGAAAGCTTCTGCTGGGAGCACCTCAGATGAAAACCAGAGAACTCATCTGCAGGGACGAGGGCTCTGGTGTGGTGCTGTGAGGGGCTGACATGCTTGTCCTGTCCTCAGGGATTTACAGGGGCTATTTACTCACACAGCCTATGGGCTAGGCAGAATCTGTGAATCTCTTTTTTTTTTTTTGAGACAGAGTCTCACTCTGTCACCAGGCACCAGGCTGGCATGCAATGGTGCAGTTTTGGCTCACTGCAACCTCCGCCTCCCGGGTTCAAGCAATTCTCCTGCCTCAGCCTCCTGAGTAGCTGGGACTACAGGCGCACGCCACCATGCCCAGCTAATTTTTTGTATTTTTTAGTAGACACTGGGTTTCACCGTGTTGGCCTGGATGGTCTCGATCTCTTGACCTCATGATCTGCCCTCCTTGGCTTCCCAAAGTGCTGGGATTATAGGCGGGAGCCAGCGCGCCCGGCCAGAATCTGTGAATCTCACTTCACATAAGGGAACTGGGAGGTGAGAAACTTACTAGCTCTTCTTATAACTAATAAGTGAGGAGCTGGAACGTGAACCCAGAAGCCCAGAGACAACGTTCCTGACCATTCTGCTGCGAAGCCTGATGCATGTGGGGAGAAATCAGAATCTGAATTAACGCCTGTCCTTATGTGTGGCCCGGATTGAGGAGACAGACAGGAACACAGAAAGAAATGGGGGAGGGCAGGCAGGCAGCCCACCCCCGAGAACCGCACCACAGCATGCCCCCTGCCAGGACTGCCTCCTTACCTGCCCACTGCGGTCTGCCCTTAAGTTCTACCGGGAAACTGCTCTTGGATATGTCTAGTGCGACTCAGAGAATAGGCCTTCTGGGAAACAGACCATGCCAGCGACCTGTCCTAACTATATTCCTAAGCATGAATCAATAACAAAAGGATCATTAGACACCTGAGCCCAAAACCATCAGCAGGAAAGGTTCAAAAAAAGTATTTCTGAAACTGAAATTCAGCATTGAGCTGAGACAGTTATCACAGGAACGGGACAGACATGTTAGCCAATCAAGACCTCAGAGCTCACCACTGATGCAACCTCCACAGATACCGCTGAGCAAAAGCGCAGTGCAGGAGGGCAGCAGGACCCTGCAGAAAGAGAAGCTTTCGGATGCAGCGTGAGCACCAAAGAAGGCTGTGTGACGTCAAAGCAGAATCCAGTGGACCCTAAATCCCAATCAAATCACAATATATACTTGTGGATTTTAAGTGTTTGGAAGAAACATTCTTTATAGGGAATACCAGAGCTAAAGGAGAAAGAAAGAGAAACAGAACAGAACAAAATAGAATAGAATGAAATGCATGAAAACAGAACACATGACAAAAGCAGCATTTCCTATCGTGGGTAAATAGCTAGTTCCAAAATAATATGCTGGCTCACACTGCAGTCAACTGCAATTCTTATGACAGTGTTGACAGAGTAAAATGATAATATAACCAGCACAGTACAGGTGAGCAGGCCCATCAGTCTCAGAATGGTATGATCTTCTCATGCAGGTACACCAGCAAAGAGATCATTTATAAAGGAAATAATTTATAGATTTGGTTACATTAAAATTGACCTGTATCAAAACATTCCATTTAAAAAGGAAAACACAAACTGGTTTTAGGAAAAAAAAAAAAAAAAAAACTTGCAAAAGGCAAGCGCTCTTACGAAGACTCCTACAAATCAGTAAGGAAAACAAATAGCTCAGTTAAAAATGGCAAAAGATCTATACAGATGATTAACACGATCAAACATATGAACGAACCTCAAACTTACTAATACTTAAAAAATATATTTATAATGTGTCAAACTTCTAAAAATAATAAAATGATGATATTAAGGATTTTGAGAATCTAGAAGAATAAACATCTCAGATACCTCAGGTAACACTACTACAAATGTAAATGCATAGAACTGCTGATCATGCCATTGAGCTGGCAATTGAATTTCTGAGAATTTACCCTAAGAAAATAAAAGTGTGTGGAGAAGTCTGTGTTCAAAACTACTCGTCATAGGAGTCTTAGTAATATAAAAGCTGAAATAAATTTAATATTTAAAATGTATGATTAACTAAATAAAGCTTACTCTACTTGATGTGTGACCATTACATTTGCATGTGTGGAAAATTTAATGGTGAAGATAAAATTCTGAAAATATAGTAGTAAGTAATATGAAACAGCTTCTAGAAGGTGATTCAAATTTTTAAAGAACTGCACATATGTATACATGAAGAAAGAATAAGAGGAAATCAAAAATTTAACAGGAGTTATTTTAAAGTAGGAGGTGTTAAATAATTTGAGTTTTTAAAAATTCATTTCCCTCATACTTTTCACAATCAAATGTGTCATTTTAGTAATCAGAACAAACATCTTATAAAAAATTGTCAGATGTTTGTTCTGATTACTAAA